ATTCCATTCGAATCATTCGATGCAGTTTGGTACTACGATTGGAAGGAAAAGGACTACTACCGTCTCATGATCACAAAGGGAAAAGATCAGCTTGTACTTTCTGTGCAAGGAGCAAGGAGGGTGGCCACCATCGAACGATTTGACAAACTCATTGGGAACATTGTGCCTGATGAATCATCACCCGATCTGAACGAACTTCGAAAGCTTGTCGATATCAAGACCGGTCACTTCAGTCATGCTCACAGATTATTTCCTGGACATCCGGATTGGAATGATGCAATATCACTTTTAGCAGTCACTCATCATCCCAGCAAGGAGGACCATCGACTATGCCCCGCATGTCTGATGGAGACCCCTGCACCATTATCGATTTGTGTGATGTGCAAAGGATTTTTGGTAAGTCATGGATGGAGGAAGCGAATCAAGATCACCGTGGCTACTGTACCAAATGCAGAATCACGTCCTCGAGAAGAAGATCTCAAAGACCATGTCAAGAAAGCATGGGAGGAAGTGAAGATCGACTTGACAGGTGATGATGATGACGACGAGCTGATGCAAGATGATGATGACGTCACCATGAAGAGTCCAGAACAAGAGCCTCAACCAGAAGAAGAAAATGATGATCAAGCCTCGAAGAAGGGCGACATCAATGATGAGAGAAGAGACTTCAGAGAACAAGATGAGGTCGATAAATTTTAAATGAGGAAGGAAAACAGACCGATGAGAATGACGATGAAGAGATAGAGGTCGATGAAATCAACATTGAGGAGTACGAGGCTGGAGAAGCTCATGATGCAGTGATCGAGTACCCCAAGTGGATGAAGAGGATTGAGTTTGGATCAAAGGTCCTACCAATCGAGCCTTGTACAATTGGAGATGCTCAGCCGGAGCTCATCAAAATCCTCCTGTTACAGATTGGGTTGCATATCGTCAGGATCTACAGACTATTCCAACGGAACTTCTGTGGAGACATCGAGACGGCATGGAAACACTTTCAACAGAACTGAAAATTCAGGATGGACTTGGATTCAAGAGTGCCATACCTAGGTGAGGATGAAAATGGTGAACTCATCGAACCAACTGCACAACAGATGAAAGAGCTCTACCAGGAAATCGGCCGACCACAACAAAAAGACGACATCGGGGAAGAGGGATTCGTCAATGCATACTATGGGGCGGTGGTACTCAAACGACTTCTCGTATATACCCTTGAATGCGGTTACACATATGAAGACTTGCAAAATATCTTCTTCGATGAAGAGATGGAGAAACTGTCGAAACGTGACTCAACAAGGGATGAGATGAGAAAGACCGCAGCCGCCCGCGAAGCCCTTGACCGACAAGATGTCCTGGTCAGAAGAATCATTGCAGGTGCATACAGAGTGAATGCTGTTTATTTCTTCAGGAACGTCGACTTTCAAGACACGATCACACTGAACCCAGTTGACATTGTGTGTGCTCTTCGACCTCCACTTCGAAGAATTTCAGTTTTGCATCTGATCCTTCAAAATGGCCGACAATTGCCACGACCTCTACTCCAGAGGCTGTATGATGCAATCAATGACTACAACCACATCAAGCAACGGGATGATCAACGACCAAGATGGGGCATCCACATGACAGAAGCCCACCTGGTTGCGATTGCTGATACCCCGGTTCCTGCCGATCGTGAACGTGCTAACCCGGCAGCTGGCAAATCAAAAGCAGCCCCGAAGGCGGCACCGACACTGGGCAGAGTGTCAAAAGCGAAAGCATCATCATCAGCAACATGGAGAACCGTCGAAACTGCTCCTCCGCCAAAACAAGCTCCAGTAACCCCGCCACAGAAAGGTGGAAAAGACCAAGGGAAAGGTGGAAGATCTTATTCACATCGTGGTGGCGACTGGAACCAACATGGATACTATGGATGGGGATATAGATGATAAATTGATATGACCTCTGCATAGGTCCTGATTGAACCTGGCGAAGCGGGGCAGCAATCATTGCTCGAGATTAACCTCTACTTCATTTCGAATGATTTCTGAGAGGACTCTGAGCCGGCTAATTTACCATCACATTTTTTGAATATCATTGCACGAGACGCTGAGTTTCTACAGCGGTCTACATCTCAACCGACGAAGGAACGGGAAGGTAAACTTCTAGTTCCATAGTCATCTTTGTGTTTCGATTTTCTTATTCGCATGCTTGAGTGGGATTCCATGCTGGCTACGCCACATCGGATGAACCTCAATGCTGTACACAGACTACGTCCTGTCAGCACGCACGTGAACAGAACCTTTATTTTTTTTGGTAGAGATCGTAGCAAGCCGCCACGTAGATTTGAAGTTCTGAACGGACTTTAGCTCTCCATAATTCAATAAATGAACAGCTGCAGATGTATTGGAACGATTTAAGGGACACTCCTTTGCGCGTGGCCAACAAAGTTGGCCATGCGTGGGGGGTGCGAATGGGATGTAGACTACAGCACTATACATACTCCCATGTAAATATCCCCTTAATCATCCATGACCAAAGGGATGCATGATATGCCCCTTTGGCTCAAGATACTGCTAGCTCCGCGTGAAAAGGAAGCAATGCCGAAACTGCCACTCGTTCGTCATCGCTGGTGAGAGATCAATAACCTTCTCAAACAATCAAGAACATATATCGGGGAGATAACCTCCGATTCACAATAAGTATGATATACGTATTATGTGAGTATTGTACATATATATATTATATGTAACTATTCTTAAGTATGATATACGTATTATGTAAGTATTATGTAAGTACTATATATAAACGTATTATAATGTATTATATAATTAGTGTATACGTATTATGTAAGTATTATATGCAAGTATTATATAAGTATGATACAAATATGATACAAGTATGATACAGGTATGATATAAGTATGATATAAGTATGATAGTATATATATATATAATTATATACTAATATATATATATGTATATATATATGTATATATATATATAACATGGGGACATGTACACATGGAAAGGTAGGATTGAACCTGTTCTGATGGGGATTATCATCTAACCTAACCCACTATGGACGAGGTTCACATCGGTGATATTTCATTTTTTGTGGATGGAAAAACATGGTGATACTGTATATCTTTGGGGATAGAAAAGTCAATCACTTTAATATAGGGTCTATTTGAAATTACCAGAGGGTAAATCCTGCAAATTTTCCATTTTTAGGGAGATCCGTGATTTGAGTATTTCAGTGGGCAATGATTACGAGAGCTTTACGTTCATTTTTCACGAGCATTGAGGAAACCGGTTTCGAAAATCAATGCCTCCCAGTTATCGAGTGATTTTCCTAGCCCACATATAACTGGGGGGTGTTCCCTAGTGGCTATAATATGGTTATGAAACACTTATTCGAAAGACACGTTTCTGGCGTACGTTACCATTTGAAGGGTGCTCCCCAAACAAATCAGGCCTTTTTTCTGTTGGGTTTCTGACTTGTATTTGGATGATGTTCAATCAAGATTCTCCTTTTTTTCTCCTTTTTTTCTCCGATCTTTCCGCCGAAATCGGATGCCTTCTTGACGTTCCTTTGACGTTCCCCAAAGAGACGGCGCCCGCCGACCATTTTTCCCACGGCCGAGGCGTGTATCTGCACCGTGGAGGGCAAATGCGACATGGATCCAGCTGAGACCACCTGTAAGCTGCGCGCAGGGATGAACGCTGCACGCGGCGTCTCTTTGAGCGCAGTGCTGACGTTCAGCTGTCTCTGGTGGCTGATCTGGTAGATGATAGGGGGGCCATAATTGGTGGTTGAGGTGACTTTTTGTGTTTTTTGTGAAAGTGTTTTGTGAGGTTGAAATGATTTGAAATGTGTGAAAGAGCAGTTAGATGATGTTAGATGGAACTATAGATAGTTCTTGATAGTTCTATAATCAGTAAAAACATTCAGTTCGAATTCCAAGCCAGCTTTCATTTCATGGCCCCTGATCGTAGATGAACACATGTAGATTAGCCGAATGCACTTCGGGCGCGTGGAAAATTCGGGGTCCTTCAGGCGGGTCAACATCCAGGTGCTTTCAGTAAAATGGTTCTCTGGGAGTTTCTTACAATGGTTCAGCAAGAAATTGTGACAACACGAACTGGAAAGTCATTAAAAGTGAGTTATTTTTTCCCACTTTGACTTTACTGGAAAGTCATTGGTAAAATATGGTACCCTCTGGTAAACATACAAAAAACGAACTGGAAAGATCCACCATCTTTAAGTTCGGTAAATCAACTATTTCTATGGGCCATGGCTTCAATAGCTATGTAACAGTCATTACCAGAGGGTAAATCCACTATAAATGGTGATTTTCCATAGTTTTTTGTATGTTTACCAGATGGTAACCATCAACGGGTACCATTGCTTTACCCTCACATGCTTTGACGACCACGATGAGGTTCCCATGGAAGACCGGCCCAGGGACTCAGAACTGTTTTAAGCGACCCGTTGCCGTTGCGGTTGGGGTGTCCTGTGGTGGATGCAGTCCAGTAGGTAAATGATTTACAACCCATGTAATTATATATATAATATAATCCATGAGGTATTCTTGGTATTATTTTTGACTGGATCTTAAGATATCTTAAGATTGGATAATTGGTATTACTTGTACTTATTCTTGATGCATTTTTGAGGTGTTGTTCTGAAGTGGAAAAAAATGATGGATAAATGGGATGATTTATTGCAATCAGAATCATCAGAGAATCGCGGTAGTTTTTTGAAGCAACCATTATACAAGGGACAAGATCCGGGTTTTTGAACAAAGGCTATTCCAATGATCCATGGTTCATTCATTACTGGTGATTTTCCGAAAAAAAATCACCATGAGCCGTTATGAACCATCCAATCTTCCATGGATTTCATCCAAATTATCCATTGCTCTTGTTTGTTTTCATTCTTCAACCACTTCTCTTGGTAACATAGATTTTCCCGTTGTTCGCCAGTACTAACCCTTACTAACCCTAGATTTCCTGTGAGTTACAGGCACGACGAGGCTTCACCGCAACCACCCCGTGGGGGTGCTGATGGACCGAAAGCCGGTGGTCGAATGTGAAAAACGGATTTTTGGCCCAGAAAAGGGAGATTTTGAGGTTCCATTCATTCTATTCATCGCAATTTTAGGATTAGAAGTGGACTTTTCTATCTTTTTTCTGGGGTTGCTATATGTAAAACATGGCTTTATGACCAAAATATGAGGATTTTTTGTTGATCAATGATGGTTGGTTGATGATTTCCGGGGATTATGAACCCGACCCAAATTCAATTCGAGACGAATTTTGGAAGGAAATCCTACGGAAATTTCATGGATTTTTTTGGAGATTTTTCGATGTCCATGGTGGTTGGGATCCAGGGAAAAATATCCCCATGGATTGCTTGGTATCCATATGATGCCACAGAAACCGGGGTTAAACCAATCAGATTTTGCTCCGGTGATATCGTGTTGCGTTGCACACACACACTTGCTCAGAATATGGGAACCCCAGACAGATGAGAAGAGTATTTTTACTGTAGCTTTCTATTTTAGGATTTTCATTGGATTGGTTCAAGGGAAAATTTACAGGAAACCATGGTTTTTACCATTGAATATAGAGGTTTCCTGTAAATTTTCCCTTAAACCAATCCAATGAGATTTGTGAAATCACCAAATTCTGCATGTTTCAATCAAACGAAAACATCAAAATGTCCCAATGGTACCATATCAGAGGCATGATCATCATATTAGCTAGGCTATATATATATATATCTCATGATATCACCATTTTTCATGATATCACCATAAAAAAAAACCTCATGATGATACGCATTATCACCATTAAATATCTCATTAAGTAATTTAACATAACTCTGGAAAATCACCATTTATAGTGAGTTTTCCCATTAAAAATGGTGGATCTTTCCATAGTTATGTTAAATTACCAGAGGTATCACCAGATACCCATGATATCACCAGATGCTATCCATGGCCCATGGCGCTTCCCCGAGGCAACGACACGTCCGACAGCGGTTTAGCAGACCTCCTACGGGTGGCTCAGGGAGGATTTTTCGGTGCTCAGTGGTAATATTGGATGGCATGTAATACATATATATATAATACATGTATTTTTTAATACATAAAAAAATATATACAATCACATGAACACACACACACAATATATATATATGTACTCACACACACACATATATATATAAATAAACTATAGATACCTATCCCCAACACTAGTGGGACAATTCATGATGTTAGGCAATGGGAGAATTCTTCCAAATAGAGCTTCGGCAATGGGAAATCCATGCACATCCCAACACTAGGTTTGGAGGTGTTTGATGGGAAAATCATCTATACCCTCTGGTAAATTAATTTGTTGACCCTGAAAACACCTTGTTGCAGTAGAATTTTAAATAGGTACCCTCTGGTAAACTAACGTAACTATGGAAAATCACCATTTTCAATAGCTATGTTAAATTACCGGAGGGTAACCATCAACGGGCCACTTTCGCTATGTTGGCTTCCTGGAGTAGCCTCGACGGCCTGGCTGAGAAGCCGAAGGGATCAAGCAGCGATCAGCACAATGGGATCGTTTTTCGGCAAACTTTCCGTGGATCAATTGGCAAAGTTCGGGGGATCACACCAACCATATTAATACATAATGTATATATATATATATACATAATATATTTAAATACATAATATATTTTATACATTCTGGGGGGATCACACCAACCATATTATCCTCATCCAAAATGGAGGTTTCTTTCTTTTTAAAAAACATGTGATGACCGGAGCTTTATGCTTCAATCCTGGATTAAATGGGATACATATACCCCAGTCTACTTTTTATTATCTAGTATGTACTAAATAATCTAAATACCACAGTCGATTAGAAAAACCCTCTGTATATAATTATTGCTGGGGACTTGATATCTACTTTGTTGTTGAAATCCACATGTTTTTTTCATCCCTTTTTTGATCCCATGAAATGGGTAAGTGACTAGGCTACTTGTATACGTACAACTATAACATACTATAACAAGAAATCTATAATCACTACACATAGTTAATTCTATAACCTGAGTACATAGCTAAGATCCACTACACCCCTTTTCGAACTATTGTAAAATTATTATAGCCCTAAGTAGACCTACTCTTATGCCTATAATGTGGTAAACACAACATCCTAACCATCGATTTTATTTTTCAAGATCCAATTATATCCGATAAACATGTAGAGTGGAATATATTATTATGGAAAATCCCCATATTTTTCCAATTTAAGCATCAACTCTATTCATATCCCATTGAAAAAAAAACCATTCAAAAATCCCATAGAATCCATGTTCTTGATGCTCAGCAAATTTCCATGAAATCTCAGTTTTTTTTTTCCCCAGAAAAGGGGGTACTTTTTATTCATATCCCATTAACATGCTATTAAAATGGCTACATGTCCATTAAAAAACACATTAAACCATAGCTATTCTTATCATCATCATTATTATCATCATCATCATCATCATCATTGTTATCATCATCATTGTTATCATCATCATTGTTTTTATCATCATCATTGTTTTTATCATCATCATGAGGTAAAACAAAATCCCACCAAAAATCCACTACTATTAAAAAAGAAAATTGTATATATATATATATATATCCCATTGTATATATATATATCCCATTCATATTCCATAAAAAATGCACTACTATTATACTACTATTAGTATTGATTATCATATATAATTATCATTACACTATTAATAGATTTATGGTGATGACTGGGGGATGGTTTATGATATTGTTTAATAGCTATTAATAGATACTACAATATTCATAGATATTCATATCCCATCAAAAATGCACCAGGATGTGGTTAGTTAAAACAATGTCATAAACCACCCATAGATATTAATGCACTACTATTAATAGATGATTCCCTGATAAGCATCTACTTTTCATTGGGTATATATATACTGGTTGGTGGTTTGGAACATTTTTGATTTTTCCATATATTGGGAATGTCATCATCCCAACTGACGAACTCATATTTTTCAGAGGGGTAGGTCAACCACCAACCAGTATCTATATATATATCCCATTAGTAGATATCCCATTATGGTTTGATAACCATTATTAATTCCATATGCTGTTGGTAATATCTATATAATTCCATATTAATTCCATATGAATTCCATATTAATTCCATATAGAATACTGTAATATCACCATATATCCCATTAATACTCAACCATAATAATGGATATACATACTCAACCAGAGATATATTCATGTATATATTAGATATTACATTAGTAGATATCCCATTAATTAACCATATATTAACCATATATGAACCATATATTAACCATATAGTAACCATTATTGTTTGATAACCACATATATATCACCACATCTATATAATTCCTTATTAATTCCATGTAGAATACTGTAATATCACCATATATCCCATTAGTATATTATTAATCATCATTAACCATATATTAACCATATATTAACCATATAGTAACCATATAGTAACCAACCAGTATATATGGTTATTTAACATAGCCATGGAAAATCCCTTATACATGGAGGTTTCTAGCTGGGAAAATCATCTATAAATGGGCCATTTTCCATGGCTATGTTAAATAACCAGATGGTATATATCCCATGAGTAGGATATTCCCAACCAGCATCGCCAGGACCTGTCCCTGACGCCACCCCCCCTGCTGGAGAGCACCTCCGGCGATCCGATCGCCGCGCCGCCCGGACACCCGGACCCGGCCTCGCAAGGCGCGGAAAGCGGGGGCCGCGGGGCCCGGGGAAGTCGGGGAAAGCCCGAAGAAAGGCTGGGGAAAAGCCGAAAAAAATGTGAAAAAATGGAGGTTTCCATGGGATTTTCAGATTATGATTGGAGGATTATGGGATGATTATGAGTAAAAACCATATATATATAATAATATATAATATAATAATATATAATATAATAATATATAATATAATATAATATAATATAATAATATATAATATAATATAATATAATATAATATAACATAATATAATATAATATAATATAACATAATATAATATAATATAATACAATATAATATAATATAATATAATATAATATATATTATAATATAATATAATATAATATAATATAATATAAAGTTGGGTATAGCCCGGTACAAGTGGGATGGTCTGATTAGTGATACAGCCATTTATGGTTGGTTATAGCCCGGTGTTTTTTTTGGCATGTCGATACGGTTCCGACAACACAACATGGCGATACACCCAATAGTAGGTAATGATATGAAATACATGAAATGCCCTCTGGTAGTTGAACATAGTAATGAAACATCCCCATGTCAAACTGCGAAAATTCCATGAACATCCCATTATGATTGGAAAATTATGGGATTTTTATGGGATTTTCATGGGGAATCATCTATAATTCTGCGAAAAAAATACCGGAGGGCAAGTCATCAACAAGACCATGACCTTGGTGAAGGGTAAACTGGGAGGACTTCAAACTGGGCGACTATTTATAGCATGGTCAAGGCCAAACACCTTCACTTTTGGAGTGATTTTCAGCCCTTTTTTCTAGTGTATCGGAGATATTGGGCATGGTTTATGGCAGATCATTTTCATTGTCCATATGCATCATTTTTCATCATTTTCCTATTGAAAGATGGTCTATTTCATGGGTATTTTGGGGTCTCATCATTTTCTTCGACATTTTTCAGACACCTTGGCCGCATCGGCCCTTATTTGCGCAGAACTGCGGCAAATCTCGCGGCAGCGTTCGAGTGATGCCACTGGGCGATGATCGTTGGGAGATATTTGAGGTTTACTGGTGATTTACGGTGATTTAATGGTGACTTATGGGGATTTAATGGTGATTTATGGGGATTCAATGGTGACTTGTGGGGATTTAATGGTGATTTATGGGAATTTATAGGGGATATAATGGGATTTACCATCTGGTTATGACTAACAGTTTGCCATGGAAAGATCCACCATGCTATTAACAACGGTAAACCATCTATTTCTATGGGTCATGGCTTCCATGGCGAACTGTTAAATAATCAGAGGGTAACTGGCTTAAAACAGCTATGGCGGAACAATGTATTTTTCATGAAGGAGATTAAGTATGAATTCATATATTTATTGTTTTCGGAACATAGGGGACACATGGGGATACCAAGCAATACGAAGTGTCAAACATGAAGCGATAGTTGATCACTGGATGATCTCAAAAGGAACTCTTGGATTGATGCACATTGGCATGAGTTATGGTCAGTAGCCGAGTTGTGTATTGAATATCGCCAGCTATACGTATTACTGGATGATTTGTTGGACATGGAGGTTTGAAACCATGGGTTTTCCCCATCTAAATCCCTGAAAGCAATCCCATGATTTTACTTTCAGTTGGAACATATGATAGGTCGATCCACATTGACAAATGCGAAGAATATCCGTGCGTATAAACGTAGAGTTTTTTCATATAAATTCATGTTTCTGTTTCCAGGTCCTTGTGTACATATCTGTCTGTATCCCCCCCCAAAATGCATACCCTCTGGGTTAAATATTGACAAATTTCGTCATGAATCAGGTTATACTTATATGGCGGTTTGGGTTGGTGGTTTGGAAGTCTGGGAAATCAGAGTTATGTGCAAAATAGATTTCAAAAAAGGAATTTGTTTTGTTTTTGTGTTTTGTATTTGTTTTGTTTTTTGTTTAACTAATCTAATCTAATCTATCTATGTATCTATCTGTCTATCTGTTTGTCTGTCTGTCTGTCTGTCTATCTATTTACTTATCTAATAATTATATCCAATCTATCTATAATAATTATATCCAATCTATCTATTTGTTTGTCTGTCTGTCTGTCTATCTATCTATCAATCTATCAATCTATCAATCTATCAACCAATCTCATATATCATATATCTGTATAATTTGTCTATTTATTTGTTTGTCTATCTGTCTATCAAACTAGTCTAATCTTCTCTGACCTTTTCCAATCTAGTCCAAGCTAATCTAATCCAACCTATCTAATCTTTCAAGTCTGTCTATTAATCTATCTAATCTATCTAATCTACCTAGTCTACCTTTTCTATCTGATCTATCTAATATGCCTAATCTATCCAATTGACCTTACCTATCTAGTCTATCTATAAAATCTATATGAAAGCAAAGCAGGAAAAAAAACAGTTTTTCTTGAAACAAATTCCAGTGCGGTCCTATCCTGTACTCTGACTGATGCAGGTTTCATGGAGTTTCCATGCAGTTTCCATGGAGGTTTCATGTTGGTTACATGCTGCTGGGTTTGCTGATTTAGCTTACTGGTGCGTAACCTCCATGACAACTCCATGGGACCTGCATGGAACCTGCATGGAACCTCCATGAAAACTGCATCAGTTAGAAGGCGCCATGCAACCATCACGTTTAGACACAAGAAACAACGGTTACCTACATGAAACCTCCATGAAACCTACATCAATTCTCCATGGAACCTGCATGGAAACTCCATCAAAGAAGACGCCATACAAGCACCAGGTGTAGATACAGGGAACATGTTCGAGACTTTTTTTTAATGTAAGCTACATGGAAACCATCAGACGCTTTGATGCAAATCGATCGCAAATCGATCGTAAGTAAATTGATCGCACAAGAACTGTTATAGCATCTGTACATTTTGATGTCGTTTTCACTAGGCCATCTGTCTTTGCTGATGTTTTTTTCGCTTTCTGTACTGGAAAAGTCAATTTCTTCCAGAATTTCTATTTATCCTGAGTGTTCGTTGCTTGGCGGTTTTGATGTTGGCAAGACCAGGGTTTCAAGTGTGGATTTTGTAATGCGTAATTTTGATGTAGGATTTCGACTTTGTTTTGCGATCATTTTGCGATCGTTTGTCGATCGATTTGACATCGTCCTAGAAACGAATAAGACGGCCATAAAACAACATCAATATGACATCGACAAGAACATAAGACCTGTAGAAAACGGCGCTTGCCAATTCATATATTCATATGGTTTGGTGATCATACAATCCAAGATGCACATAAGTTAATTCATTTCTCTTGGTGGTTTCGTTTTTTAATTAACTTAGTTTGCAATATAATATGTTAGGTCATCAACAACATTTGGTAGCAACCATTGGTGTTTTAAATTTGTTTTCTTTATTTCCAACGACTTCATTGTTTACAGGGTTTGATAATTTTTGTTTTTTCTAAGTTCACAAAATCATTCATTCCCAGACTTCCAAACCACCAAGCCAAACCACCACGTAGATCATTTTCCGAGAGCATCCCGTGGATTTCCAGCTGCTTTCAATGTTCCGCCAAGGACCCGGATGCGACCGAGAGGCTTTTTGTGTTTTTTTTTCGGATTTTTTTCGGATTTTTTTCGACCGAGAACTGCAACACCTCGTTTTGGGTTGAGAAATTTGTCATCAATGGGCGATAGTGCCAAGAAACACCAAGAAATCCAGCATCCACATGACTCAAAATTATCCCAAATCTGGTGGTTATATATATAATATACATATATATATAATATACATATATATATATAATATACATATATATAATATACATATATATATACTATACATATATATATAATTATATATATATATACATACATATGTATATATTTATACATATATATATATTGTACATACATAATTCAAGAAAAAACCCAATGTGGGCCTTAGTCCCGCTCTCCAGGCGGCAGTCCAGACGGATCTCTTTAGGTGACAATGGGCTGCCCTTTGAACTCACCAACAACGAGTTCGTGACGGTGCGGTGGTTGGGGTTGTGGGAGCTGCCAGGATGGGAATGGAAGTGCCCTCTGGTAAACTAACATAGCTATTGAAAATCACCATTTTTAATGGGTAAATCAACTATTTCAATGGCCATTTCCAATAGCTATGTTAGTTTACCAGAGGGTAACAGAGTGGTTGGGAAATATTTGGGAAGATCTGGCAGATATGGCAGATATTCTTCCCCAAAGACCCGGCCTGGTAAACATGAAAACAGTTTGCGAACTTGAAGCCATGGCCCAGCCGATTTATAGTGGATGAATTCCCAGCTAGATAGCTAATGGTGGATCTTTCCATATAAATCACCATTTCCCAATGGTTTTCCCATGGTTTTCCCATTAAAAATGGTGATTTTCCATAGTTTTTTGTATGAAAATCCCAGGTCGGGTGGTAATTTTTTCTGATCCCAGATCTCCATGGGATTTGGCCATTCAAACGCAATGTTGGGAGTTCGTCGCACTGCGAGGCGATGCGGCACTACTACTCTTCCAACAACTTGGGAGGAAGTTGGGCATGGCTTCCCAGAGCTCTGGTGTTGTTCGAAAAATCTCCACGGTGTACCCTCTGGTAAACAGCCACATAACTATGGAAAATCACCATTTTTAATGGGAAAACTCACTATAAATGGCCATTTTCAATAGCTACGTTAAATTACCAGAGGGTATCTGTAACTTAGTCTATCACTTCTTAGTAAATCTCCCATTAATATAACTATAAGGGCTTGGCTATATATATATATCCCATATAATTTCTTGTTCTCTTGAGACAAAAAAAACCATGACATATCAAAAAATCGATGTATCTCATGAAATAGTCCATGGTACATCGATGGTCCACTTCTTAAAAAGACATAACCCATTCAAGTAACCCATATAACTTGAAAACCTGGTAATGGTACATTCGATGTATCTCATCCTCCCATCTAACCTCATTAGAAAAATCTCATGGTCCACTTAGTATCTTAGTCTACGCTGAGGCCTTGAATGCAGAGGACATCAAGAACCTGCAGGACCATTCGCAATGCGTGGCCTGGGAACCCAGAGAATTTCTGACTGGAAAATGATTGGAAAAGCTTGGGAAACTCCAGTGGACATATGATACATGAATATGTACACATACATATAAACATATATACAGATATACATATTCATATATACACATATACATATATACATGTATAATACATATAAACATATAAACATATAAACATATAAACATATAAACATATAAACATATATGCGTATATACCTATATACATATATACATATATGTACAAGGGTGGGTGTACGATAATTATTGTCATATGTTTCTGAAAAGAACATTCTCCATCCATTCTTGGGAGAGATCATTTAACGTAGCTATGGAAAATCATGATTTTTAATAGGTAGATCATCATAAATTATCATCTATAAATAGGTAATTGTCCATGGCTATGTTAAATAACCAGAGTGTAATATTAGTGACCCTGATAACAACCGCAACATAGAAAGGCTAGACACCCGGGAAATTATTGGACAAATCTCATCTATTAACGACCTGGAAACGCTTTTGAGCGTCTTTTTGGGGTTACTGTATCCATCCTGAAGTCAGGAAAGCCACTATCATGGGAAGCACCCTTCGTCGCGCTTAGGACTGGGGTCAGGAGAAGAATATTCAGAAGCTGAAGGACCGCGACCGTCACTTTGAGATCTCACCGACCGCGGCCCCCAAAATGCCCTGGTTCAGTTTAATCCTCCACTGCCATCGGCTGATCATATCCATATCAATCCATGATGTTCTTTATCTCAATCCACCGTAGTAATTATGGTTATTCATCTCCATCATCACTATGTATGATTCCATAAGAATCAAGAAAAGAATCATTCATACTACCATCCTTCATCTATGATATTCCTCATGGATATCCAATTTAAACATATTCCGTTTTTCAGAGCATATCCCATCCCATCCCATCCCATCCCATCCCATCCCATCCCATCCACCGTCCATCCGGGTTTGTCTGAAAATGTTGGGTTAATCTTCCCAATGAAATAGCCATTTAAAAACGGGATAATGATCAGCAAAACCATTGGGTAAAAAGGGGTTTTCCCTACATTTTCAGACACACCCAGATGTTGTCGTGGTTACTAATGATTAATGGTGGTTAATAGTGATTAATGGTGGAAAAAACCACGAACATCTAACCATCTAATAGTGGTTAACCATGGTTAACCATCCCATCCTCCACTCCTGCCACTGGTCTCCGGTGGTCAGGACGTGCGGAAGGTGGTCCGCAGCATCTTCTGGGGCTTCGAGGACATCGCCGACGCCCACTTCACCGCCGACACGGCGCCGGTGCTGGTGGTCTCGGAGGACCTGCGAAGCGCCTCGGCCCGGCGCCGGTAAAGCTTGGCGGGATGGGGACCTGGGGATGGGGAAAAAGCGAGGGAAAAGCCATGGAAACTGGGAGATGAAAGTTGGGAATGCACCTTTTTTTTTGGGATTGATCAGATTTTGATGGGTTTTTAGGATGATTTTGGGTGAGTTTTTTTTTTTTTAATGAAGATTTGATGGAGGTTTTAATGATGGTTGGAGGTGTTTCATTTTTTTCGGAGGATTTGCCGTTCCTTTTGGAAGGAAAGCTGGGACGCGGCCTGCATTTTCGATTGCCCCTTGGGTACTGCAGAAACATAGGTCCTGAAAAATAGCTATAAATTATAAATCAAAAACCTGGTCCTGTGGGGATGTTTCCAGTATTACCCTGCAGTTGAAACTCACAAACACCAAGACCGGAAAACCATGCCGGCGCCCACTGCAGATCAAGTTTGAAATGGGCATGAAAAAGCCATGGGTTTTCCACATCGTGAGGCCTCAGTGAGGCCGAAAAAATTCAGCATCTTTCTTGGTGAACTTTAGCCCCAAAATCATCCATTTCTGATGGGAAAATCCTCTGATTTTTCTCCATTTCGGATGGGAAAAGCCATGGTTTTCCCCTGATTTTCCACGGAATTTCCGGTGGCTCACGCCATCTACCCGTGGGGCCGCGGGGCCGAGGTCGGGTGAAGCGGCTGGCGCAGCAGATCGTTGAAGGGAAGGCGTGAGGAAAGACCTAGTGATGGGATATAGAATACTAGGGATGTATATATATATATATATACACGTCTACATCTATATCTATATATCTATGTATCTATATCTCTATATATATATATATGTATATATATGTATATATATATATACGCACACATACTATGATTATAATGATGATATAATATCTATATCATGGGATTAATTGGATATATCATGGGATTAGAATGAACATATAGCAGTGGGGAAGATGATCATCAACTACGGGCTCATTTCTTTTTGGTTTTCCGAAACATTTTCAGAGAAAAAAACATCTATGCACTTGTCACACCTATAAACTTGGTCACCTCTATGTCGGATTGAAATCTAGAGGAGCCCATTACCAATCCAATGTATCAAATGTCCTATATAAAATTACATATTAAATGTCCCCATTTGATTGGATCAGTTGACATTTGAGTACAGGCATTTCCTATGAAACGTCCCACCAATTGAATGACTTCTGATCCCAGAGGCCTTCACGCTCTACTTCATTTTCCTGACGCTTTACGCTCTTTTTGGCTGCGAAGCCCAGCGCATTTTTCGGGGATGAAAGAAGCAACGAAAAAAATGTTTGGTGACACCAGAATGTTTCTGTTTAGTAAAGGCTTACCCTCTGGTAAACTAACATGGCAATGGAACATGGCCATAGAAATAGTTGATTGGTATTAACCAATGACCACTACGGCGTGTTGATCTAATGCAGTTGTGGAAGTACATGGGGCACGGCTTACCATAAGTGTTACCATCTGGTTATGACTGACATAGCCATGGAACATCACCATTTTTAATAGGTAAACCATCTATAAATGGGCCATTTTCCATGGCTATGTTAAATAACCAGATGGTAGAGTACCAGAGTTTTTACCAACTATGGTAATGTTGGGGATTGTTTTTTTGCAACCATCATTTATCATTGGCTTTGCCACAGTTGACCATTATTCACATATTTTTCAACCACTATTTACCATTACTCGCCATAATTCACATAGATTTCACCCAGCAGTAGCATTTTACCCTCTGGTTATTTAACATAGCCATGGAAAATGACCCATAGAAATAGATGGTTTACCTATTACAAATGGTGGATCTTTCCATGGCTATGTGAGTCATAACCAGAGGGTAAGCATTTATGAAACAGCGGCAACATGATCTTTTTATCACGGTTGCGAGGGATGATTCATCCCGTGACTTCTAGGAGAATTTCGACAGAAAATCTCTAGAGTAGTAGACACAAGTTCAGCTCCCAAATGGCCCAGTCGAAATAGTGGATTTTCCCATTGAAAATGGTGATTTTCCATAGTTTTTTGTATGTTTACCAGAGGGTACCTCTTATCCTACTGTAACTGTTACCATCTTTTTGACCTACATGGTTTTCATCGTAGCAACTGCTGTAACTGTTACCATCTCTTCCAACATTGCCAATGAGGCCCCGATTTGTTGTTGATGACCGGGCAAAGTGGGATGGACCAGGACGGGAGGGACTCAACGCTTCGAACGCTTCCCTAAGATGGTAACTATAACAAGTATAGTTTATCCACTTATATATAATTATAATTAGCTAGTTATCTATCATTTATCATCCACTTATAAGGAGCTTCATCTGGCTATCGCTAAAGAGCCAGTGATCCTGAATCCCATAAAATTCCAGTTCAGTCATTTTTTCCGTATGATGACTGTTTTTGATGGGAAGGAGTAATTTATCACTGTTTTTGTGGGATTTTACGAACTTCTATCTGTTTTGGGGGTAGATATACAGAGGTTGATAAACGTCCCAATTTTTCACATCACCAACAGGATCTGTCTTGATGGATGTCCGACAAAAAATACCGGGAAAAGAATCCAAAAAGAAGGATTAAAAGTGGAATTCAAACATAGCTTTAACCAGTGGTTTTATATTTTTTTTTTGGTTGTTTAACTCTGGGCTCTTGCCGTGACCCAGTGTGCATTGGGTTAGCATCTCGGCTGGCATAGTCTGACAGACTGAGTCCTCGCCGTTCTTGATCCTTCGACCCCATGCCTTGATAGTTGACTTACCAGGGTCCATTTATAGTATACATGGAAATACTATTGAAAATGGGGCAATACCACGTTATGATGTATAGATGATAGTATTTTGTTATACTAGAAATGGTCCATATTTTATGATTTCCATGGTATCATGGGTAATTGAAAATGGAAATCATTTATATTGAATGGTCCATTCATAGCTATTGAACATGGATCATAGAAATAGCTGAGAAATACCCGGATATACCCGGAGTACCCGGCCTGGTAAACATGAAAACAGTTCGCGAACTTGAAGCCATGGCCCAGTCGAAATAGTGAGTTTTCCCATTCAAAATGCATGGCGGATCTTTCCAGTTCGTTATGTAAACGTGTACCAGGTCGGGTAAATCCTATTAAATCCCATTAGATCCCATTAAACCACCATAAAATCCCATTAAATCCCATTAAGATCCCATTAAGATCCCATTAAACCACCATAAAATCCCATTAAGATCCCATTAAGATCCCATTAGGTTTCCTATGTTTTCCCATTTTCCTATGGGTTTTCCTATGTTTTCCCATTTTCCTATGGGTTTTCCTAGGTTTTCCCATTTTCCTATGGCTTTTCCCATGTAAGGCCCTTAAAAATTTTGGCACTTGAACTCACCCCAAAAAACGTCGCCGTCTTTGCCGCCAGGATAACTTGACCCTCTCGGTGATCAACGTCCTGGTCTTTCTCTGTTTCGCCTTTGAGGAGCGACGGAACGGGCTACCGGGTAACCACTGGCTTCAAAGGTTGAAAGCCACTGTTTTTTTTTTTCAAAATTAGATATTGTATATATATGATATTTATATATGATATACATATATGATACATATATGTATATATATATGATATACATATATGTGACATATATATATAATTATATATATACACTATACATATCATACATCATACATCATACATCACATATCACATATCTCATATCATATGTCATATCTCATATGTCATATCTTTACATGTAAAATGTGTATTTCAAGCGCGTTTAGAACTTTTTGCCTCACCGTGATTCCGAACACCGCCGGGGGCTTCATCGGTGGAGGAGATGTATATATATATATATATTATATATATATCACATATAATATAATATATAATGTATGTATATATAATATACCCTCTGGTAATTTAACATAGCTATGGAAAATCACCATTTTTCATGGAAAAATCCACTATAAATGGTCATTTTCAATAGCTATGTTAAATTACCAGAGGGTATGTACTATGTACTGTGGAGGAGATGTTGATGTGTTGGGTGCTCCCTGGCTATCTCTTCTCTTTGCGCTTTGTCATGGACACCTGCGCCTTGGTCAACGCTTGCCGCTGGCGCGGCCGTAGTAACTGTGGTGTAACTGTGGTAGATAGCTGAGGTGAAAACAGCGGATTTATGGTAGATAACTACTGATATATATATATATACCTATATATATACCTATATATATATACCTAGATATATATATATACATACTATATACAGTATGTATATATACCTATATATACTTAATCATCCTGGAGAGGTAGAAGAAATTTGATTTTCACCTATCTTCATTGTTGTTTTTTATGAGATGATTTTTGACAAAATGGGATGACTATTTTCTTGGAAATAGATGCCCGAAAAGTGGGAAACCTGGAAAGTGGTGACACGTACTTTTTTCATCGAACAAACATGCTGTTAAAACACGATAAAAAAAACAACTTTTTAGGGTTTTTTATATACTTGAAAAAACACAAAGGCTACAAATTGTAGTCAGAACACATTTTTTAAACCTCCTCCTGATTGGTGACTTTTGGGGGATTTTAATCATCATTGATTTAGGGATCGTTTCACCAAAAACACATGGTGATATCGTTGATAGATGCTGGATGACATTTGGGATCATCCAGTATGATGGACCCGTTCTTAACCACTACCCTCTGGTAATTTAACATAACGAACTGGACAGATCCACCATTTTTAATGGGACAATTCACGAACTAAATGGTGATTTTCCAGAGTTATGTGAAATTACCAGAGGGTATATTTCTTGGGTGAGACTTCGGATTTTGAACACTGACTTCATTTCTTCGGCTGCCATACACAACAAAATATCGTACATGGCCAATTTCTTGACAGGAGGGTCATACCCATCCCGGCTGCAATGGGGCTACAGTTGCCATTCAGTTGCCATCCGATGTCATCTAAGATTGCGAAGGATTTTTCATCGTTCTTTCCCAATACGTGGCAAATATAAACGTGGCTCAAATAACTAATGAAGCGCAAATGACGTTGGATTTTCCATGATTTGTTTTTATCTAAAATACATCGTTTTTTCACACATCACTAATGGGTTGATCATGGCTTTCCGAATGGGTGAAACCCCATGGCTTTTCCACGATTGGGTGTGTGACTGGCCTCAGGTGCAACCTTGAGCATTCTCGGAGATACCGCAGCGAGTGGCCTCAGAACAAGCCTTTTTGGAGTGTAACATCAACCATTTTATTGGGCTATTCATAGGGATATATATATATATATATATCCCATTATATATATATATATAGTGGCAATGTGAATTTATACAATGGGGATATAACCACATAGCAAAGAGTCCTAAGGGTTGTTCCAAGCAATTTTTGGTAAATCTTGGCAAGAAGGGCAGGGTATTTGGTGGTCAGCAACCCTGTTTGACACGTCCAAATTCTGGGACGATAGCTTCAATGACGACATGGATACCCTCTGGTAAACATACAAAAAACTATGGAAAGATCCACCATTGTTAATGGGTAAATCCACTATAAATGGTGATTTTCAACAGCTTTTTGTATGTTTACCAGGCCGGGTATATAGCAAGATAGGACATGGATCAATATCTTAAATAGCATTTATAGGGGGGAACTGGATGAACATCCATTTATGAATCCCAGCTATTTTCATAGCTTTTTGAACTACAGGGCTACCAGGGTGCCATGACCCCCATGACTAGAGGTTTCCAAAAATAGGGGTACATAGGGGTACCATCATCCACTATGAATTCATAGGGATCCCTTTTTTTTGTGGATTATTTAATAGGATTCTCCATGATACCCTCCGGTTATGTCAAAATAACTATTGAACATGGCACATAGAAATAGTTGATGAATAGCCATTTTTCAGATGGTGGATCTTTCCACTTCGCTAATGATGTAAACGTTTACCAGGCCGGGTAAATCATCAAAAATGTGAATCTACAGATGATCTATAGATCATCTACATATACATATGTAAATCAGCGACTTTAGGGACCCATCTATGGAAACCGTTCATTGGTCGGAAATTGGTCGCGGAGTTCCCTGCCTCAGATCGCGACCGAAATCATCAATACCGACGCTGCTGTGGCGATGAGGAGAGCGGCGCGCTGGGACATGGGTATATAATGGGTATAATTTCGATGTACTATCAATGGATATACATATATACATATATCCATATCTATATCCATATCTATATCTATATCCATATCTATATCTATATCTATCTATAGATGTATATATGAGTATATGATTATACATTGCCTACAGTTAATGAAAAGGAAATAGCCTTCTGTAATCAAACATGGCTGGCTGAGAAATCCCCGAACGAAGGGTAACCGGACTTTGTCAATGGCTGATGCGGGAGCTGCAAACAATAGGGTGCCCCCAAAGGTTTATCATGATTTTTCCTGTCTAATAAATGGCTATTACTTGAAAAAAAGCCCTCTCATTTTCAGACACACACACATATCATCATTATATCCCCATTATGGTTGGTACAGTTCCCCATGTTTGTTGGCAGAATATCCCCAGTTTCAGAAGTACCTAAATATGATATCAAGTCGGTCACATATCCGAATTATATCCCATCAAATCTTGTATATTTTGTTGATTACATATGCAACATTATATATATGTAGAATACTATATACATATAATTTGGACTATTCCAAAAAACATCACTAAAATGAAGATATTTTTGAAAATTCCATATTCTATCTATGTCAAGAGAATCATATATACTATAAAATCTCCAAAATATATTAAAAAAACCAATCTACAAAAATCAGATTTTTACATTTATAATGTAATATAGTGATTTTCCCATTTATAGTGGATTTTCCCATTAAAAATGGTGATTTTCTATAGTTATGTTAGTTTACCAGAGGGTAGATCATCTATCGATAATCTATAGATCATCTATCGATAATCTATAGATCATCTACATATACATATGTATATAGATCATCTTGAAATTATGAAATCATAGAAAATCTAGGGGTTTCAATCTACAAAATGTTTCCGTCACATCATCACATCCCGAATCCAGTGGAGCCGATCCAGGACCACTAGAGCTATGCGAGGTGCTGGTCGATCTACCAGACGCATGGCGACCACCGTAGATTTCTACGGGGGATGGCAACAGCAACAGATTGCCATGTCACATAATAATAGTAATAATAATAATAATAATATATATATAAACATCATATGTATATGTATATGTATATGTATATGTATCTGTATATATATATATGTATCTGTGTATATATATATATATCTATTAAGTCTAGAACCTCTCCGATTCAATTTTCCTCTAGCTTCAATCATAAACAGCATTCGAACAATTTCTTGGGTCGCTGACTCCAGCCATATTTTTTTTGGTACCGTGCCATCACCAATGGTCACCAATAAACCCTAGTGCATATATTGTTTGTTTATCTAGTTTATCTACTACCCTCTGGTAATTTGTTACATAGCTATTGAAAATGGCCATTTTTCATGGGAAAATCCACTATTTCTATGGTCATTTTCAATAGCTATTTTGACATAACCAGAGGGTAACTCCCTAGTTGGTAAGTTTATCTACTAACTCCCAATGGTTGGGATTACCCTAGTACTAACATGTACTAACTCCCAATAATAAACCCTAGTACTTATCTTGTTCATGAGTTGTTGTTCCATCACCACTGGTCACCAGGTCACCAGGTCGTCACCATGTGACACTTGTGACATCTTGGGCCAAGGAATGATCAGTATCCTGCGCAGCTTGCGGGTTTGGCAGGCCCGGATTTCTATGGGGATTTCTATGGGATTTCCATGGGATATATACATGGGATATATGGGATGATATTTCATGGGATATATACATGGGATTTATAATTACCCCAATAGTTGGGATGATGATCCAATCTGACGAACTCATATTTTTATATTTTTTTCAGGGGGGTAGGTCAACCACCAACCAGTCATGATTTCTATGGGTTTTGATGGGATTTCTATGGGATTTCTATGGTTTTATCCACATTAAATGACTATAAATCACAACTATAAATCACAACTATGGGTATACCGTATACCCTCTGGTAAACATGCAAAAAACAATGGAAAGATTCACCATTGTTAATGGGTAAATCCACTATTTCGACTCGGCCATTTTCAATAGCTATGTTTGTTTACCAGAGGGTATATGAAAATCAAAATCCCATGAAAAAAGCCCATTGGTTCTATATCAACAACATCCCATTCACATTGCATTAAATCCCATTCAAATCCCATTCAGTTTCCATGATAAATCTTACAAAAGCAATATTGTTGATGGTTAAACCAGCTTTTTCCCATTCAAATCCCACAAAATCCCATGAATCTCCATGAAATCCCATGAATTCCCCATGTTTTCCATGGTTTTTCCCATGTTTTTCCCTCAGATCCTGAAGCTGCTCCCGCGGCTGCAACGGCTCACGGAGAGTGGGACCAAAGAGTTGGCCATGCTGCGACTCGGTGGTGGGTCATTTCCAGGGCATTTTTCATGACTTCCCCAAGAGTTGGGATATATATATACATGGGATGATCATGGTAATATATACTGGTATATCGTGGTAATTTATAATTACTCCAATAGTTGGTGATATATATTGATCATGATAGTTGGATTTATCATGATTTCTATGGGGATTTTGATGGGAAAACTCATTATTTCTATGGGCCATTGAAAAAATAGCTATGTAAGAAATTAGCATTTCCATGGGTAAATTAAAACTGTGAATGATTTCTATGGGATATATACATGGGATATATGGGATGATATTTCATCGGATATATACATGGGATTTATAATTACCCCAATAGTTGGGATGATGATCCAATCTGACGAACTCATATTTTTATATATTTTTCAGGGGGGTAGGTCAACCACCAACCAGTCATGATTTCTATGGGTTTTGATGGGATTTCTATGGGATTTATTGTTTTTTCCACATGAAATGACTATAAATCACAACTATAAATAACAACTATGGGTATACCCGCTGGTAAACATACAAAAAACGATGGAAAGATCCACCGTTTTGACTGGGAAAACTCACTATTTCTATGGGCCATTTTCAATAGCTATGTAACAAATTACCAGAGGGTATCATGATTTCTAATTAATTAGGGGGGTACTTCTCCAATAGTCATAGTCTGATACTTAAATGGTTCCCTCCCAATTAAACAGCCGTTTGGAGTTTATTAATCCAGGGTTGACATTGTGGGTTTTGATGGGATTTATTGATGTGGGTAAAACAAGAATGAACCATCCACCACAGTATTATGGATAATACACTTAGATTTTTATGGGATTTGATGATTTTAATGGGATTTTTATGATCATGATTTATCTAACTAATGATTTTTTATGTTGTTTTTCCAGATTTTGATAGTATCAACTATTGTATTTAGAATAATCCTCTGTTGGTGGATGATTTGTATAATATGATACAGGATGGTGCCCTTTCCAGTTATGCTTGTTGGTTTATAAACCCCATGAATACTATAGTTTCTCATACTTAGTAAAAAATCTACCATACACCAGTTGGTAGATGTTTTTTCCCAGTATAATCCCTTAAAATATACAGTGTTTCAGTTGGGTACCTTTCAGAAAGTTCGTTCCCAAGTGGATGATTTTAAAAACGAGACGATCTTGGTGGAAAAATCACAGTTTTTGTGGTGGACCAAGATCTATATAAACAATTAGTATCTTATAAACCAAGATCTTATAAACCCGTATCATTGGTTGTTTTCTTGGTGTTTATATAGGTCTTGGTTTTTCAAATTTTTTCCATTGGGATTGGTTTATTATTGGGATTGGTTTATAATTACAAGATCTATAATGTGTGTAAAACATGGTAAAACAAAGCCATAGACCATCCCCCAGTCACCATAAATAGGTGAGATGTTTTCGATAATTATCCGATCAATTTCTATGGGATTTATCCATGGATTTTCCAGGTTTTTTTTTGATGGGAGTTATAGTGATTTATATGGGTCTTAGATGGATTTTTTCATTTTTTTTTCTGAATTTATGGTAGCTAAATCATGAAAAATAGGGATGTGAACCATAGATATCGGATAATTGGTCGAGATGACTAATATTTTTGGGACGGGGTTGAATAACCAATCAGTGTATATTTCTATATCATGGATATAATTACTGGATATTACTGATATATTTTTAGCTTAGCCGAGAACATGAAACTTAGAAAGCTTGGATACTTGAGGCAGACGATTGCTTCAGGGGTTACCCTCTGGTAATTTGTTACATAGCTATTGAAAATGGCCATAGATTTATAGTGGATTTACCCATTAACAATGGTGGATCTTTCCATAGTTACGTTAGTTTACCAGAGGCTTATACTACCTTTAATGGGATGATCAGAGTCAAAAAAAACTGGGCATTTCAAGTCGATCACTCAGGATGTGGCATAAACGTCTGCAGAACGTGGCAGGGGTCTGCCGTGGCATGTTTTTTGTGCAAAACGGACTGAAGGTCCACGACGGAGATTGGACAGATTTGGGCCAAAATGGGCCAAAACAGATCCAATCCGCTTGGGTAAATCTTCAAAAAACAACAGATCATTCTTCGATATTTCGGATCTTTGACCTCATCATGGGATATGGATCTGGTTTTTCTTCGATTTTTCGGCCAAAATCATGAGAGCCCCTGGGAGCCGCTCCGCCAGTTCATCGATGATGAAGGCATCGGCGAATTGTCCGCCGGGGGAGCCCAGCTGGACAGAACGGCACCGAAAAAAAGAGGACCATTGTTGACATATGATAGCTATCTATATCATGACTATATCATGACTATATCATGACTATATCATGACTATATATATATATATGTATATTATGATTACTATGATTGCTATTATTATCATTATTATCATTATGGGAATTATTTTATTGTTATTATTCTTAAGAATCATCTATGACAATAGCTGGTGTCGGTATGAATTCCCCCGATATGGAGCATCTTACAAGGTGAGACAGCTTTTTGGCCCCCAACCGTTTGGGTTGGTCCACCAGTAGGTTTGACGCCAACCCGGAATTCTTTGACAGCTGTTTTTGTCGCTAAGTTGAGGATAGTTCGCACACAACTTGCTTAAGGTTTGGGTAGGGGGTGTAACTTGTAACTGGGGTGCCTCACCTTGCAGAATATCATCGTTTTTGCTGTGTGTGGTTGCATGATGTTGTACAAAGGGGTAAAGGGATGCTCTTGTGATTTGGCAGTTATATTATTTATATTGATTTTTCAAAAGTCTCTGGGCTTATGAATTTTGGGGAAAGATTTTTTCTACTTGAGAGTAGAATGGATATTGGCCCGGGTGGATATCTCTGGTTGGTTAAAACGTACGCAGAGTTCTCCAAATGATTTGGACGAAAAATGCTTGGGGATGGGACGTGGACCTTTTCCAGTTGAGTTAGCATCCACTATGAATTCATAGGGATCCCTATTTATACAATGTGGGGCCCCCAAACGATAGCTAAGTTGGTTTATAACTCCAATTTCACTATGGTTTATGATACGCAAATAACTATAGTATTCATGGGATTTATAAACCAACAAACATAACTGGGGGGCCCCACATTGTATGGATTATTTAACGGGATTTTCCATGATACCCTCTGCTTATGTCAACAGAAATAGCTAACTGGAACATGGTGAACATGGCCCAGTCGAAAAAGTTGATGAATAGCCATTGAACTCACATGGTGGATCTTTCCAGTTCGTTTTTTGTATGTTTACCAGGCCGGGTAATCATGTTTCAACCAGATCATGTTCCATAGATTTATCCATGATTTATCCATTATTTAACCATAGATTCGCCAGAGATTCACAGTTTTTGTCCGGTGTGATTTTGCGACTTCTCACTTTTTGATGGCCAGTGGCCAAACGGAAATTCATGGTCGGAACGGGCCTTAAATCGTTCGCTGAGGACGAACAGATGGACTTTTTCACCGCGGCCGGGGGGGGGGAACTTGGTGAAGTTTCAGGTGGCAACACATGTTTCTTGTACTGGGTTAGCCCCCTCGAGAATAAAGCTTTGTTCGGTATTATTAGGTGAACTATGGTAACTATGGTAGAAAGATCTATAGCTAAGTTGGGTATTACCAGGTGAACTATGGTTTGTGGATGTTTACAGTACTTACGAGCTTTACATCAGCCTGCAAGGCACGAAAATAGAAAGGTGATACCAGGGGTTCAATGGGGATACCCGGCCTGGTAAACATACAAAAAGCTATCGAAAATGGCTATTTATAGTGGATTTTTCCCATTAAAAATGGTGGATCTTTCCATAGTTTTTTGTATGTTTACCAGGTAGGGTACTTCCAATATATTCTAGTTGGCGAAGTGGTCAACTGGTCACGCACTGGCGGTTTCCTCAGCCCTTGGACAGGCTTTAAGATTGGAATTTCCGAAGCCACAAGAAGAGGCTGGGGCAGAGTGCCAAGTGGATGAAGCAGCAGCTTGGGGTTCGTGAGGATGTATCTAGCTGATGTAAAATTTTCGTGCGTCTGAACACACAACAACTTAGTGGGCAAGAGGCAACAGCGCTTAGCTTATGAGGTGAACACCTTTCGCAATGGGGTACTTGACCGTTGACCTTTCTTCTCGGGTTCCTAAGTGCCAGGCCCCAAAAATGGCTGCCCATTAGTAGAGTAGAAACAGGGGCCATTTGGTGGTTGCGGGAATCCATGTGGCTTATGTAATATATATATACATACACACACATACACATCATCCATATATATATACATATATATATATATATACGTATGCACATGTCACACACACACAGAATCATATATATATATATACATATATATACACACACTTATGTTATATCATCATAAATCAGCATATCTCATATATCATCTTTACCATCAAATTTATTCCATGATTTTTTCCCATGCCATGTCTCTATCCGACATGGCACGGCACCGCCAGGACAAGATGAAGCGCCTCACCTGGTTCTTGGAGAAACTTCAAGGGTCGACCTATGCCACAGCCCTTAGGACGGGGTCCGACCCGGTGGATGTGCCTTATGTGCTCCGTGACGGGGAAAAACCCGTGGCTCAAATGGGAGGATTTGGAGTTTCTTTCAGCCCGAAATTTACTGAGTTCCTCCATTTTTTTAAAAACTCGAGTTGCGATTCAGAAATGGGATGAGATAGAAATATGAGATTCGTGTTTTTGAGGAGTTTTTTCAGGTTCCTCATCTTTTTTTGGCATTTTTCTTTTTACTGACTGATGGTCAGTCATACCACGACCACCTGGCTCCACGTTGTCACGTTGTCCAGGAGCTGGGGTCAAACCCTCATACCTTGGTGTAGATCTACTAAGGTGCGGCCTGCTGGTGATGTCGTCATTTCGTCCACTGTGGGATGTCGCTTACCCGGCCTGGTAAACATACAAAGTTAGCGAACTTGAACATGGCCATAGAAATAGTGAGTTTTCCTATTAATAGCATGGTGGATCTTTCCAGTTCGTTTTTTGTATGTTTACCAGAGGGTCCCCAGTTTTGTTGATGAAATCTGAGACTTTTTCTGGATGAAACACATGCAACTGGACAAAAGCTTGTTGTATCACCATTCAAATGTGTGCTTGCCGTGCGTACCTTCCTTTTCTGGCCAGTTTATATATGTTTATATGTATTTTAAATTCTCCCCTGCCCCCAAAAGATCCTATAAGCAGTGAACATTTTGCACCAATAACACGGATGATATCACTGGTGCCCCATAGAAAAACCTGTCAATATCTGGTCAAATCATCTCGAATTTTCATGAAATTCCACAATCATCACAAAACAGCATTTGCAGGTGAAAATCCATCCTCAATTTTCCCATCCAACTTTCCCATCCTTTCCAAAGTGTCTCCATGGGATTTTCCCGGTTTTTCCCAGATGTTTTAGCGGGAAAAACTCCCGGTGGGATTTTCGCCCATGGATTCCACTGCCGGAGGTGGAAGAGGCGGACTTCAGCCGCTATAGTTTGGAGGCGGAAGTGGCGCCGTGACTTTCCGTGACTTTCCGTGGCGCGCTGGCCACGTTGGGAATTTGGGTCAAGTGATAGCTGGCTGATACTTATGTTTGGTTATTTAACTATATCACATATCATATAACTGGGACAATATATATATATAATTATACATAATCTACTATGGCATAAATATCATAATCTACTATGATTATTATTATTGGATAATACGATCTGGTTATGACTAACATAGCCATGGAAAATCCCTCATAAATGGCGGTTTGCATGGGAAAATCATCTATTTCTATGGGCCATTTTCCATCAAATATATAAACTGGTATGGTGAAGTATGGTGAAGTCCTTAGAAATTGTCATGGTCATTGCCATGAAAGATATAAAAACTGGTTGGTGGTTTGATGATCAATGGGATGATAGATGGTATACCAATGGGATGTTTACCACCTATAAATGGGATATATACATGGGATATATGGGATGATATTTCACGGGATATATACATGGGATGATGGCAATATATACTGGTTGGTGGTTTGGAACATGAATTTTATTTTCTCCAATAGTTGGGATGATGATCCAATCTGACTAATATTTTTCAGGGGGGTAGGTCAACCACCAACCAGACAATATCGTTGATATGACTCTAGTTATAGATAACTATTAAGCAGTCAGAAGATCATTTTTTTTCTTTGCCTACCTTGAGCTCTTTTTCGTGGTATATGATATATGCGATATGTATACTATATACATGTACAATTATCGGGATAGCATGGTGGTGTTAGTAAGAAAAGTAGGGATGTCTTCCAACCATGATATGGTGAGTCTAAGCGACGCTTCTCTTAACCAGAACGATATGGAAAATCCATGGCTTTGCGTGAACATGGTGGCCCTCCGGTGTCATCAAACGTGGCTAGCTGGAAAACCCCCTATGAAATGGAGGTTTTAGTTGGAAAATCATCGAACTAAATGGTGGAGTTTGCATGGCCATGTTCGATATCCGGAGGAAAGCATATGAGTGGTTGATATAGAACGGCCATTGATAAAAGATATGACCATATCAATTTTACATATTTCCGGTTTCCGTTGTCTCATTAGGGGGTACCCCCAGAAAAAGTCCTCCAGTCGTCATGGTGATTTCTTCCATGGATCAACGACTTCGCGAATCGCGGATCCTGTCGCAGATTCGCTCCTGCTGGGACATGGACATGGGCCAGAGAGCTTTCCGCCGTTGTTTGGATGATATCACCACCATGAAGGCCTGGATGATGGGAATGGGAAATGGGAAATAGTTGTTACCCGGCCTGGTAATTTGTTACATAGCTATAGAACATCACCATGCTATTAATAGGTAAACCATCTATTTTTTAATGGCCATTTTCCAGTTCGCTATGTTAGTTTACCAGAGGGTATTTTTTTGAAGCAATTGGGCTGATTTAAGGTCAAAACCACATCCTTTGGACAACACACATCATTTGCTTCTCGAAAAATAATGGCAAAATGATTCACTGAAGATTTAGTGGAAAAAAAACACCACTTGGTATCATTCATCTCCGTTTTTTTGTTGTTTCTGATGGTCGCCAATTGCCACATCAGTTTGCCACCTCGTCATTTTGCTAGGCATCCTGTACAGTGCTCTACCAGTCCATGCTGGGGTTGATCCTGAAGATTTGTATCATTGCATCTTGGCTGAACGGTGGGCCCGTCTGGCGAATTGAAGGCACAACCGTCAAGCTGGGTTGGTTGTAGATATTTGATCCGAAAAACAAGAACACAGAATTACACATTTCTTGTCCAAGATTCTTATTCCAATTATGGAGTCCAATTATTTCAATAATTGTCCAAGTATGTCCAAGTATTTAAGTTGTTTTTTTTTGTAGATTTCCCCATGGATATTCCAAGGTTGATCCCAACCAAGGTATTGGCTTTGCTGCTCATGCTGCAGTTCGTCAGTGGTTCACTACCAGTCGCTAGCTGAGTGGATTGGGAACTGATTGAGCTATAGGAAATTCAACGCCAGTCCATTTTTGTCGAAGTCACCGAAAAAGACGTGCCCCGTGACGTTTTTTGAACCCCAAAGAACTCAGGTTTGGTTTGGTTTGGGGCGACACATGTGAGTCATGTTGCTTGAATCCCCTATCCGATGTGTGAAAAACCATGGTTGGATCCCATCTCCGACCCCCCGAAAGATGCTTTTCTACATCAAACTCTTCCGTTTCCGAGAAAAATCGGGCATTGATGCTGAAGCTATTTTCTGGGGGTCATGTTTGATGCTCTCCCTATTTGATATTAGATCCATTTAGATCCTCCATTTAGTTTGATGATTTTCACAGCGAACCAAAGCTCCATTCTGTTCGGGGGTTTCCCAGCCATGGCAATGACCAAAGTGTAAACCATGCCATGAAAATTGTTGGATATATAGAGATCCCATTAACATCCCATACTCCATTAAACCGCTTAGAACAACAGAGTTTTCAGCTCCCAGCTATTAAACATCTCCCAAAAAACCAACCCACAAAATCCATGCAGCTTCTTTTGGATGTTTTTTTTTTTTTTCCAGACCTTTTTCCATTACCAACAAAGCCACCCACCCATCGCCATCGAAAGCCGCAACGCCATCGATGCCAGGAGATCGCCCGGAAGCAGGCCATCGCTCAGCTGGAGGTCATTGATGCTGAGAGCCCAGCGAGCCAAGAATCGGATCTGATCCTCTGCGAGATGATCCAGAACCATTTCGTTGCCCGGCGGACGGCAACGGCGGTGCCCGGTTAGGGGTTAGGGCCGTTTAAGGCAATTGATTGAAACTGGGGATAGAAACTGGGGGATTTAGAATGGGATGAGTGGATAACGATGGAAAATGGGATGTGAATGGGATATAAATGGGAATTTCATGGGATTTGATGGGTTTTTTTTTATGGGATTTTGATGGGAGATTAGTGGATATTCATTGGATTTTAATGGGAGATTAGTGGATATTCATGGAACGGGATGATTGGATGATTTAACTTGTAAACATTTTAGTAGCTATGGAAAATGGCGATTTTCTTTGACCGTTTTCAACGATGGTGATTTTATAGTTTTTGGATGCCTTTAGTCTACTTTTAGTGTCATTTAGTTGGTATTCACATATATTAATCCACCTATATTACCCTCTGGTAATTTAACATAGCTATTGAAAATCACCATTTTTCATGGGAAAACTCACTATAAATGGCCATTTTCAATAGCTACGTTAAATTACCAGAGGGTATATATATATAATGGGGATGAGTGAAGACCAGCATCTCATAGCCATGTCATCGGTGCATGACGATGCCGAAAAAAAAATCGGATGGAAGTTAGTGATGGAAATTCCAGACGTCATCATTGACCATCCCAGGATTCCTGGTGGCACACGAATACAATGGCATCTTTTTTGGGCTTGGGAGCATGTTGCGCCACATGGAACTATCCCCAAAGTTGGTGTAAAAATCGTGATCTGTCCCGAAAAAGTTCAGTGCACCTTTGGGATGAGGCTTCGTTTTGATGAAGACTTTTTGACACCTTTTGATGACTTTCTCTATACTTTTTGCGATCATAAAAAACCATTTGGAATTTTAATAATTTGATTGCTTCGCTTTGAAATCATCGAGATATAAACCGGTTTCTCGGTTTGATTTGCATCGTTTTTCTCATCCAAAAGTAACATCGATTGCTCCCATTTGGGACTCAAAAATAACCTCCAGGAGACTTATCGCCCAATTGTCTGTGGATTGGGGGCATATCCCCGTAGATCTTTCATATCTTTTTGTGGGAAAGGTAGCTTCAATAAATCATCATAAATCTATAAAAAACCAAAAAGATCATTTATAGGTCATCTATATAACAATGCTACCTTCAGTACCTTCAATCGATTTCAGCCATTTTTCCAAAAAAAACATGGCTTCTTCGCCGAGGCGGAATCTTTCCCTCGCTGTAGCCTGGTGCTGCTGGCAACTTGGCAGCTGGAAATCCGGTGGACTTGGATCATCTATGGGACTTTCCTCCGGTGTTTGCTGAGCGTTTCGGTGGGCCGTAAATTTTTAAAGGAAAGGGGGATATGATGTATAACTGGGAAATGGTGGGTTAAATCTACTATGATAATATATCACATTAGATTTATTATATATAGTAGATAATATATATATATATATATTGTGAATTGTGCTCCACACATTCTTGCACATTCCAGGTGGCATTTGCATATCATGATTTTCCAACATGTGGCCGCTACGGCCCAATTCCCATTTTAGGGCTAAGGGATGCCTTAAGGCTTTTGAGCTGATGGTCTACATGGCCTGCTGCCCCGGCATAGCAAAAAGGGCAGCCCAACTTCTTGCGCTTGCTGCACTTTGCGTGGCAGCCTCTTGGTTTGGATTTCGTGACCCTCCAACCAACATTGGTAGCGGAGCATTGCGCTCCAGAGCCCTTCTACCTCACTACAACCTGGACACCTTCACCTACCAGATCAACTACGCCCATCCACTGCGCTACTACAACCTCATCACCCTCTACTACCTCCCTTGGTCTTTGTCTCTGAGGATGCCGTCATCTGGAGATGGAGCTACATCGACTTCGAGCACTACTGGCATGGAGCTGCTGAAGGACACCTACATCCCAGTGTTCAACAACAAGCCTGGTGATTACCGTGAATGGCGCCAACGTATTGGCCTTTACCGCCGAAAGCTGGAGCTACAAGGAAAAGGGAAAGAAGCTGTGCTCAACGTCCTGACCAGCTTGCATGGCGTGGCCTGGCGACAGTTGGAGCCGAAGGTGGAGACGATCTTGTCGAAAGATGAGGGTGCCTTTGACCTCATTCTCAGTGAGTTGGACTCTACGTTCCGCTACAACGAGGATGTTGAGATGCCTCGTGCCTTTGAGAAGTTTTTCTATGGGACAACGAGGCGACCAGAGCAGACCTTGCTGTCCTATGTGGCGGACCATCGAGAAGCACTACATGAAGTTGAAAAACATGGAGTTCAAGTGTCTGACAAGGTGAGCGGCTGGATCCTTTTGAGGCGCTCAGGTCTCTCAGGAGAACAAAAGCAGCTGATCCAAAGTCAATGCCCCAAGCTGTCCTACGACAAGGTTGTGGAGGCGATGTACTTTTTGTTGGGCCAAGACTATAAAGGCAAGTCTCATGATGCAACCACGAAGTGGAACAAGGGACGAACCTATGGGAGATGGTCCAACAGACAGCATGGCTACTTGACTGAGGAGACCTATGACGCCGAGGAGATCTACCCCGAGGACTATGCCTACCAACAATGGGATGACGATGAACTCTATGGTGAAGACTATGGTGATGATTGGGATGAGTCCTACAACGAGGACACCTACAACGCTGCTGACTACGAGGACGCGGACTTCCCGGACGAGCCCTTGGATGATGGAGGTGAACTTGAAGAGGCATACGCCTCATACCTTGATGCCAGGCGACACTTCGCCCAGATGAAAGCTGCTCGAGGCTACTTCCCTGTCGTTGCCTTGACGGATGGGGGACAATCTATGCCAGCAAGTTCACAGGCACCACGAAGCCCTTCGAAAGGCAAAAGCAAGGGCAAAGGCAAGGGCAAGATCAAGGGGAAGCCATCCCTGCGACAATCCAATCCACCACAACGTGGTTCTGCTGCCTCAAGGGCCAATGCTACGCGATGTCTACGTTGTGGACAAGTTGGACATTGGGCGGCAAACTGCACTTCACCTACATCAAAGGCGAGCCCTACGTCATCGACTACCTCCTCACCTTCGAAGAAGGCCAAGACGGAATCAACTATGATGGTGCGCGACCTGGCCAAGCAAGTCCCCAAGGGATTGCCATTGCTTGGCAACGATGGTTTCTTTGGAATCCAAGATGGTGGTGCATCGTCTGTGGTTTGTGGCCATGACGTCTTGATGAACATCGTGGACCACCTGGTGATGCGAGGCGTGCCCATCGAGCGCTTCATGTTCATGGCGACCAACAAGCTGTTTGGCTTTGGGGGTGATGCCAACCGAAAATCAGACTGGTCTGTCAGACTTCCAGTCTACATCGAAGGCCAACCAGGCTACATCGAGACCTTCATCGTCGAGGGCAGTACGCCTCTCTTGATCGGCCGACCGATCTTGCAGGCGCTCAACATCAAGATTGACTACCACCAGAACAAGATCTCTGTCCAAGACGGTGAATGGAAAGACACCACAATGGGTGAGAAAGGAGAGTACCTTCTGCAACTGGACCATGGATTGGAAGATGACCCTGAAGGACATCACATTGCCTTCGACTATGTCACCAGCGAGACCTGCACAGCGATCAACAACTATGACGACCTGGCTGACTACATCAACATCCATGAGTACCTCTCCATGACCAACCGCAGCCCTCCTGAGAAAGCCTTCTTGGAGGAAGACACAACCTTGGAAGAAACACCCACTGAAAGTTTTGAAGATTTCCAAGAAGATGATCCCGCTGCTGTGAGGCGACCGATCACTGACAAGTTGATCAAAACGATGCACATGGAGTTCAACAGCTTCAACCGGCGTCGCAAAGACACCATTGAACAGGTGTTGCATGCCTACCAGACTGGACGCCGCACCTTTTGGGAAGTCTACAGTGGGTCTGGCAACTTGTCTTCAGTGATGCGGGATTGCGGTTGGGATGTCATGACCTTTGACTACAACACGGGCTGGGATTTTGATGTGGCAGCCCACCGGAAAGAATTTCTTCAACTACAAGATCAAGTTTGCCCTGACTTCATTTGGTACAGCCCCAAATGCACTGATTGGTCCCCTCTTCAACGACTCAATGCCTTGACCGAAGATCGAAAAATGGCACTTCAAGCTGAGCGCGACTACCACGAGAAGGTCCACCTGAAGATGTGTCGCCGAAGCTACTTGAAGCAGAGGCCGTGAAGGAAGGCATGCCGCCTTGGAGCAACCAAGGTATGCACTGAGCTGGAAGACGACCACCTTGCATGATCTTCCAGGATACCAATGCAACTTGGACCAGTGCCAGTTTGAAGTGATGATGGCTGATGAGAATGGGATGGACCAATACATCAAGAAACCAACATGACTGCAATGCACGGACGAGCACATGGCCAACGAACTCTCACTTTTGTGCCCAGGTGACCACTACCATTTGCCAATTGAGGGCAGTTCACCTGGAGTTGGCAACCGTGCTGCTGCTTCTGCAGTTTATCAAGGAGTTTTCTGCAGCTGCATCGCTCAGGCAATCATCAACCTCTTCATCAACCAGGAGCATGAGCAGACCCTGATGACCCACGAGCGTATCCATGTAGGTGATGACATGGCCGATGAGACCTCCCTTCCTCCGGAGCTTGACTTCGAGAACTTGTCCGAGGTTTGGCCTGACACACCATCTCCTGAACAAGATCAACATGCTGAAGTTCGACAACGCCGTGGAGTCCTTCAACGTTTGGATGAATGTGACCGCCAAGCTGCCAAAAGAACGATCACCAAGCTGCACCGCAACTTGGGCCATCCATCCAACAAAGAGCTCATCAGGTTGCTGAAGACCAAGAATGCTGGACCTGCTCTACTACAAGCTGCCCAAGACCATGAATGTGGACTATGTGATCTTCACAAACGTCCCAGTGGAGTACCCGTGTCGAGCATGCCCAAGGACACCACCTTCAATCAAAGAGTTCAAGCTGACACTCTGTGGGTGAAAGTTCCTGGGGTGAAGCACAAGCTTCCTGTGCTGATGATGTCAGATGCTCACACGAGACTTCTTGCAGCTCGCTTCATCAAGGCCGAGACCTCTGAGGAGTACATCAAGCAGATTGAAGCTGCCTGGATCAGCTTCTTTGGACCCATGAAGACCCTGCAGGTGGATGAACACAGGGCTTGGGCATCAGATGCCATGCGAGAATGGGCAACTGAACATGGGATCCATTTGGTGATTTCTCCGGGGCAATCTCATACAAGATTGGCCATTTTGGAGCGAAGACATCAGGTGACAAGAAGGGCAATTTCCCTCTTCCTGGAATCCAACTCTGGTGTCGCTGCTGGCAAGGACGCCCTCATCATTGCTTTGACCTACATTGTGCCGCAGCTGAACAGGATTCCAAATGTGCATGGATACAGCCCCATACAATGGGTACTGGGCTACACGCCACATGTGCCCGGCTTGCTGTCTGAGGAATCTTCCCTCAGCAATCCAGCACACCTTGACCCCTCCGAGAAGTTCATGGAGAAGCTGCGCTTGCGACAAGAGGCCAACAAGGCCATGATTGAGGCCGACACCGACTTCCGCCTGAGACGTGCCCTGTTGCGCAAGTACATGGGCCAACCTGTTGTCCTTCAACCAGGCGACTTGTGCTACTACTGGAGAGACACTCCAGCAGGATCAACTGCGAAGTTGAAATGGCGTGGACCAGCCACCGTCATTATGAGAGAACAAGGTCAACATGGCCACCACACCGACATCTACTGGATTGCTCATGGAACAGTTCTCCTACGTGCAGCTCCTGAACATGTCAAAGCTGCCACACCAGTCCAAGATCTCACAGAACGACCTCGAGATCCCTTGGACACAGCAAAGCAGTCTCTGTCCAACATCAGAGGCCGTGGTGTGACGCAGTACATTGACCTCCCCAAGAGCAACAAGCGCAGACGCGATGAAGTTGCCACTGATGAGGAGGAGGACGAGCACGATGAGGACATGCAACAATATCCAGGACAAGAGCTACCACCAGACAGGTGGAATGTGTCAGAAGATGGAAGACTTTGGACTCGAATCCACAACATTCCAAGACGCAAGCTCTATGTGCCCGAGCCAACAGCTGATGTCCCGATCCACCTCTTTCAACCAGAACGAGCAACAGACGTTCGCAGAGGACATCCAAACCCTGAGCACATCAGGATCAGAGATGAGTGGCGAACACCCAACTCGGACAGGGAACTTCACTATGTTTGGACTGGCACAACGACCTTCTTCATCAAGACTGAC